AGATGCAGAAATGGAACTAGGCAATGTGAATTTGAATAAGGCCAGATAGTTAAAAGTAAGAAAACTAAATGGCAAAGAAGAAAGGTTTATAGTCTCAGGGCCAGATTCAAATCTCAGCTCCCAGATATCTTTTATTAAAATATGACCTGAACAAGTTACTTCTGTTTCCTCACCTGTAAAGCAGCGGTAATGATATCTGTTTCTAGGGATAAAAATGAAGATTACAGGTAATATGTCTGGCACTTTGTTTGGCACACAACAGGCAGACATCTAAGCATGTAGCTATTAATTAATATAAGTTAATCCACCCTTACATACCATAGATAGATGATCTCCAACTTATAATGATGTGGGATATAAACAAACTTATRACTTGCTCATCATAAGTCAAGGAGCATCTGAATAGAATTATTAGATAGYATGTAGAACATCAAGTCTATCTGCATAACTAAGTTACTTGGAATAACATGGCAGCTGAATCGCAGTTAACAGGAGACATATTCCACTTGGTTAATGGACCTCATGACAGTGAGGCATCCAGAGATCATGTAGCTAAATGAATAAAGGGGCCACCCTAAGGAAATATCTGACAATGAATAAAGTCAGGAGAAAATAAAACCAGATCAGAAACTAAAGTAATGAAAGGAGAATGAGACTTTATAATAATAATGACTATGATAAAAGGAAAAGCTTATATTTGAATACCACTTAGTATTTTTCAAAGTAGTTTTGTATTATCAACTAATATAATTTTAACATCTGAGGTAAACAGTTTAGACATTCTTTTCCTCTTTGGGGGAAACAACATGAGAGCTTGGTGGCTAGTGCGGTAGAGCAGAGCTGGGTGTTATACCCYACATCTCCTGATTCCCAGGTAAGGTCTATACTGTGAGCCTTCTGCTTTGCTGCACATTTCCTTATCTGTCCTCTGCTCAGAAGAAAAAAAATACTACATGCTAGTCTCCATTAAACAGAAAGGTAGCAAATGCATTCCACAGAACAGTCTGTAAATGTAAAACTAGATATTAGTGAAATTGTTCTATTTATATGTAATGAAACTGAGATCCAAGGAAATTTTGAGATTCAAGTTATATAGTTAATTATTGGTAGAGACTCAACTAGTACAGATATCTTTTTTACTATACCAAAATTAACTGCACAGAACTAGCTAATTTCAAGTAGAACTATAAATGAAACAGTAAAATTGATTCACAAAAGAGAGAAAATACAGAAAAGTTAAGCAATCAGTACTACCTGATTTAAGGGAAACARAATTAAAATATGTTATTTTAAAGCAAATAACATTATGACTTAGATATTAAAGAACAATCAATCTCAACATGAGAAATGACTAGCAACAATGTGAAATGAATAAATGATAATAAAAATAGACACCGCAGTCCATTGAGGTTTTCTCCTCTGGAGGTAATCAGAAATACTAAAATTAGGAGGCTATTCTACAAAAGTATTTGTATTCTCTTAAAATATTTTGTTCTCCAAGGAGCATGTTTAGAAAGGAACCATGAGCCAAGCATTCTGGTTATTGCTACTAACATGCTTGAGAAGAATCACTACTGCTAACTTTGCTTTGAGAAGAGATGCCTAAAACAGCATTTCAACCTTAAAAGATCTAAAATGGAAGCCCACCCCTASTCTTTGCCTCACACCACACACATTCACAACTTGCTCCTCTTACTACTTCTCCATCTCAGGAAATGGTACTTTCAATGTTCTAGAACTCAGATTAAATCTTTGTCCCTATCTCTAATTTCTTTCTCACATAAGCAAGTCTTCGCCAGTTCTATTGTAAAAGATATATTCAGAATCCACCCACTTCCTAACCATCTCCACTAATATCCTAAAACTAAAATTATCATTCCTTGCTTAGACTGTTGCAATAACCTAGCTGATCTCCTACTTTCTACCCTTGACCCTGTCTGTTCTTTTTAGGTTTGCTTTGTAAATTCAGTTTTCTCATGACTTCAAACAAAAAAATTGCAAAAATAGTAAAACAAACTCCTGTATATGTATTACCTAGATTCACCAGCTGTCCATTTGCTTTATTAATATGTTTCTCTTATTCTGATGTTTCCTAAAATATTTGAATGTAGGTTGCAAACATGATTCTTTTTAGAGCATATTTCCTCAGAGACTTGTTCTAACATATCTACAATGATCAAAATCAGGATCAATAATATTGATATAATAGCACCACCTAATCCCAGTACATATTCCAATTTTATTAATCATCCARCATTGTCCTCAACATGGAACTTATAGATACTTCATAAATTGTGCATTTTATTTATTTGTAGTCTTTATCATGATTTGCTTTGTGGGGTAGGAATTTTTGCTTATTTCATCTAATTTTTTTGCTGTTTCTCTTGTATACAGGACAGTACCTGGTGTCTGGGATGCTCCTGCACCTTTGATTCATGACTGGAAGCCTAAGCCTTAGCTGTTGTATCAGACTTTTAGGTTGTACTAACAACATAATACCATAACTGGCTGAAGCATACTTTAAAACTGCCTTAAAAAGAAAACTAAGCAAAGGGAAAAAAGATAAACCTTCAGTTAAGAAATCACAGTGTGTGACTAAGCCACAGGGATGATAAAGCAGAGTGGGGAAAATGCTAGGAAACCAAAGTAAATCTAAGGGTAAATCTAACACCATTCATAATACCATTCATCCATTTGCTGTGGATTACCACAGCAAASATGGTAAGAGCCACGTCTTCTTATTTAAGACTACCAAGGGGGATGGTGATGTAGCTCAGTCGTAGAGGACATGCTTTGCATGTTCAAGGCCCTGGGTTTGATCCCCAGAACACAAAATGTAAAACAAAAGGGCCTGGGGAGAAAGGAAGGAAGAAGGAAAAGAACAAGAAAAAGAATAATATTTTCCAAAAAGTCATATAAATTTTCTCACTAGTATTAAATTTTCAGGAATTATTTTTAGGGTCTATCGATCCATGTGATTCTCTCTTGGTCCACTAGTTCTCAGGTTGTACTGAGCGGTGCTAAAGTTTCCTGCAATGCTCCAATACTCTACAAATCAAATATCGGTAGACTTTTCCAACTTAAGGAGAAAATATACTGATTGAGGGAATTTTCTCAAATTTTTAAGCTTAAAAACAAAGCTTAAAAATAAATTTTCTTAAAATTTATATATTTCTTACTACTTTATAAAAGAATCTGGCATACTGTGGCCTACTATACAGTGCTAAACTATGTTTAGTCATTTTATATACAACATATTAACATTTATAGTATCAGACTAATTGAATTTGAAAAATGGTCACCTTAGTAATGAGACTTTGAAAAAGTTACTACATGACTTCTCTATGATTCAGTTTTCTCACTGGTAAAATAAAGTTTAATAATAAAGTGAAACTCAGAAGGTTGTTTTAAGGATAAAACTAGTTAATAAGGAAAAAGCAATCAATCAATGTCTTATAGAAAGAGAACATGTAATAACTATTATTTGCCATTAGAGTTATTACCACTAATAGTATTTTATTAGGAAAAGGGCACAATGACTTCTAAGGGTTCTTTCATTGAAATAATTCTATAATTATGTCACAATGGTCCAATCATGTACAATCTTCCTGACTGAAGAAGAGAAGATAAAAAACTCTACAATATTAGTGTTCTCCCCACTTATAACTACTTAAGAGTTTCTCAAATCATATATAATAGACCAAGTTCTGCTTTGTAAGCTGGAGAAATTAGTCAAATATATGCTATTGTTTTATGCATTCATTCTTTTACATTATTTCGTATTACAAATTATTAAGTGTAATCTAATCCTGAGAATGTTTTTCTCCCATTTTCCACCCTCAAAATGTTAGGGTCCTGGGGCTGGGGTTGTGGCTCAGAGGTCGAGCACTTGCCTAGCACATGTGAGGCACTGGGTTCGATCCTCAACTCCACATTAAAAAAAAAAAAAATTGTCCATCTATAACTAAAAAATAAATACTTTTAAAAAATGTTAAGGTCTTGTGGTTAATATCAGATATAAGGGCTGGGGCTATAGCTCAGTGGCAGAGCATTTGCCTTGCATGTGTGAGGCACTGGGTTCGATCCTCAACTCCACATTAAAAAAAAAAAAAATTGTCCATCTATAACTAAAAAATAAATACTTTTAAAAAATGTTAAGGTCTTGTGGTTAATATCAGATATAAGGGCTGGGGCTATAGCTCAGTGGCAGAGCATTTGCCTTGCATGTGTGAGGCACTGGGTTCGATCCTTAGCACCACATAAAAATAAAAAAATTTTAAAAAGGCATTCTGTCCATACATAACTACAAAATTTTTTTTTAATCTGATATATTTTACAGATGATATTCAAGATGAGTGATGCCCTATCATAACATTAAAATTATACTTTCTTTTAGATTTAATTCTCTAGGGTACAGACTAATCCCCCCCCCCCCCCCAGTTCATAGGTCTTTTAGTTCTGGTCTATCATTCTACTGAATGACATTAGGCAAGTCATTTAATATCACTAAAACTTGATCCTCTCATCTGTAAAATATAACTTCTGTCCTTGCCTAGTCACAAAATCATGGTGAGATTCCAAAGGCAATATTTTTAAAACTGCACGTCTTTTTATAAATGTGAGATTACGTATGTGTGTATGTAATTGGGGACTGAACCCAAGAGAGCTTTATCACTGAGTTATAGCCCTAGTTCTTTTCATTTTTTATTTTGAGACAGGGTCTCACTAAGTTGCTGAGGCTGGCTGCAAACTTATGATCTTCCTGCCTGAGGTTCTCAAATCATAGGGTTTACAGGTATATACTACCACATTTGGCCAACAAGAGATTATTTTAATATTTAATAAAAATCCAGGCCATGCAGACAAACTGGTTACCAAGGCTGCTTACTTAGTAATGATACATGAACTGCCATTAACTTTAAAAATATCCATGACCTTACAAAGAAGAAATTATCACATATAATAAGAGCCATGAAGTAATAATGAAAGCTTTCACCAACCTGGCCATTTGCTTATAAGCTTCTTCAGCTACTGCAAAGATATGTGGATCCATATCACCCATGTTCTGACCACTGTAAGCATTAATAATATCTTCCCCATAAATAGGCAGTTGTTCATAAGGATTTATAGCTACTAGGACTATACCTGGAGGGAGGGGACAAAAAAGAAAAAGAAAAAGATATCAGTGATATCCTAATGAACATATCAAACTTGGCATAAAGTAAAATAATTAACACAAACTTCATTTAATTTTTAGTTCATATTAAACTAATATAATATATTGTTCAAAGATCAAAATACACAACTTTTAAAAAATTCATTTATTCTAATTTGTAATATATGACAGCAGAATGCATTTCAATTCATAGAACACATATACAGCACAATTTTTCATGTCTCTGGTTGTGTACAAAGTAGAGTCACACCATTTGTGTCTTCATACTTGTACTTTGAATAATGATGTCCATCTCATTACACAGTCTTTCCTACCTCCATGCCCCTTCTCTTCCCCTACCTCCCCTTTACCCTATCTAAAGTTCCTCCATTTCTCCCATACTATCCCCCACCATCCCTATTATGGATCAGCATCCTCATATCAGAGAAAACATTCAGCATTTGGTTTTTTGGGATTGGCTTACTTAGCATAATATTCTCCAGTGCCATCTATTTACCAGCAAATGCCATGATTTTATTATTTTTAACTCCTGAGTAGTATTCCATTGTGTATATATAACACAGTTTCTTTATCCATTCATCTACTGAAAGACATCCAGGTTGGTTCCACAATTTAGCTATTGTGAATTGTGCTGCTTTTATAAACGTTGACATAGCTGCATCACTATAGAATGCTGTTTTTAAGTCCTTTGGGTATAAACCAGGGAGTGGGATAGCTAGGTCAAATGGTGGTTCTATTCCAAGTTTTCTAAGGAATCTCCATACTGCTTTCCATATTGGTTGCTCCAATATGCAGTGCCACCAGTAATGTATGAGTGTGCCTTTCCCCTCATATCCTCGCCAACACTTATTGTTGTTTGTATTCTTAAAAGCTGCCATTCTGACAGGAGTGAGATGAAATCTTAGAGTAGTTTTGATTTGCATTTCTCCAATTGCTAGAGATGTTGAACATTTTTTCATATATTTGCTGATAAATTGTATGTCATCTTCTGAGAAGTGTCTGTTTAGTTCCTTGGCCAATTATTGATTGGGTTATTTTTCTTTTTGATGTTAAGATTTCTGAGTTCTTCATATATCCTAGAGATTAGTACATGTGGTAAAAAATTTGCTTGCATTCTGTAGGCTCTCTATACCACAACTTTTGTCTCTCTGATTCATTATACATCGTCCTAACTAAAACACCATTAAAGAATTGGGCTGGGTTTTTAAAAATAATGTTATTAGGCTGGGGATTTAACTTAGAGATAAAATGCTTGCCCAGCATGAATGAAGGCTTGGGTTCAATCCCTAGTATCAGGAAAAAAAAATTTTAAGTGAAAATGTTTTAAGTACTCTAAATACTTCCTACTTCTAGAAATTTATCCAAACAAAATAGAGATTCATGTAAGGTTTGTTTTTAAATATAGATGTTTATCATGTTATTCATAATAGTAAAAATGGAAACAAAGAAAATACGTAATAAAAGTAAAGTAGTTGAACACATTCTGTGACATCTACACGACTATTGGGCTACCACTGTAAATCACTTATTTTTGAAGACTATAAAATGTCATAGAAAAACATGACACAAAACTATACATGATTCCATCTTTATATCTGCTTATAATCTTTCACAGGTACACAAAGAGAGGATTTAAGTTTAAAAAAATAAAGAATTTAAGTCAATGGAATACTGGCTATTTTTCACTGGTGAATTACATGCAATTGTTATTCCTTTTTGATACTTTTCTGTATTCTTTAATATTTTACAGTAGCTACATATATTACTTTAATGAAGTTATTCACTTAACAAATATTCTTTAGCTCCAACTATGTTTCAAGTCTCTTCTAAATGTTGATTTTACAACAGAAAACAGAAAAAACAAATCTTTATGCTCATGGAGCTTATAGTCTAGAAGGAAATTCAGATGACTAACAAAATAAGTAAAAAAAAATAGATACATCTATATATATGGTTTAGAGAGTAGTAAGGAAAAAAGGAGAAAAATAATATAAGCAAGGAAGATAGCTGGGAGGGAAAAAAGCCTTATAATTTAGATAGGGTGGCCAGGGAAGGCTTCATTGAGAAAATAACATGTACCAAAGAAAAATAAAAATTGAGAAAAAGGAATATTCAGTCAATGGTGGAAAATAAAAAGGTTAACATCAAGGATCTAAAGGATGTACATTCTTTTAAGAAGAAAGGGTGGCTGCTCCTGTTCAAACACTGCATTGGGCACAGAAGGCAAAAAGACTCAGATGGAAATTCAGATCTGAGTCTCAGAGAGAGAAAAAGTAAAAGAAAGCTGAGAGTTCAGTAGAGAAAATAGAGGATAAGAATAAAATAAAGAAAAAGAAGAAAAAAAAAGAAAAGACAGATGGGGAGAGGGAAGGAAACAAAAAACATACACTTATGCATAGGCTTCATTTCTAAGAGAGAGGAAAAGCATACTGCAATGAGCAGGGCCCTGGCATTCCAGGTAAGCAAGACTTACCATGAGTCAAATCAATCCTGCATTTCTCAGTAATTAAGAAAAACTTAAGATAAGCCTCTAACCTGCTCCAAATGTAAGTTCTTGAATATCTACTCTTCATATAGTTTTTTAAGAGGTAAAAATAATATGAATTTGGCATTAAATCTGACATATGGCTTCAGTAAGGAGAGATGCAAAAGATGGGCCAAGTTCTTTTCATCTTGAGCAAAGCTATATAATGTGACTTCACAAATGAATTTATTTTGTACCAAATGCAATTTAGCTAATAAATATTGGTAATCTTTTTATAACTCTGAAATGACTTTTGTCTTTAAGAGAAAATCTAACCACAGCCTAATTTCCCCATGCACAGTGCTTCCACTGCTGCATCTCTTAGAGAAAAGAGTTTATAGTGCACTCAAACAACAAAGCATACTTACCACAATATGTATAAATGAGTTTGGAATCAATAAAGCGGACTCTGAGATTATGGAGCACAGCAGGCTCATGAAGATAGCTGAGGGCAGTGAGGTCATTTTCTCCAACAAGTATATCAGGGTTTCGTAGATGAGGCAGCTCCTTGGTCTTTGGATCTAGACGGTATTCCAAATCCTAAAAACAGAAGGTACAGCATCTGGATCAGACATGGCAAGGAACAGGAAACAGGCCCATGCATTTTGCTTATTTCCTATTTCTGATTTGCTACTCGGCTATTAAATGTTTTTGTTTCCTGGGATCTTCCATTATCATAGAAACTGGTGGAAATGGCAAAAGCTTTTTTTTTTTTTTTTTCATTACTAAAATTTTTTGGAGAAATCAGAACCTAGACCTTGTTTACCTAGAACTTTTTAATCATTAAATGAGCTTTCTTCCCTCACCTCTTTACTTATGAGAAGTGATGGACAATATAAGAGAGGTCAAGAGCTTGGTTTGAGGGTCAGATTGACCTGAGCTCAAACCCTAAGACTGGTATTTACTTTTTATGTGATTTTGTATATGTTATTTAACCTAGATCCATCATTTGTAAAACAGCATAACAGAACTGTGCCACACAAAGTTGTGGTAAAAATTAAAAGAGGCCATGCACATACACAAAGTGTTGTGCATAGTTTCTGGGGATTCTTGGACTTCAGAATCCCAAACCCTGAGAAATCCAAGAATCCCCTGAAACTATGCACAACACTTTGTGTATGTGTACAAATGTGTACACATATATGCATGTATTGAACTTTCCTGGGAAAGACAGTTCATACTTTTCATTAGATTTTTAATGAGGTGCCTGGGTCTAAACATTAAGTACAATACATTCTGAAGTCATAGGCATACGACTTTATGATAAAGACAATAAAAATGCAATTTAATTACAGAGTGGGACAAGCTAATTTTGTTAATACTGAAGATATATATAGAGGTCAAATATTCAAATCAGGCATGAATGGATTACAATAAAGGAGAGAAAAATTTATAATCTGTCTCTCAGCAATTCCCTTTTCCTGTTTATCAGGATATAATGTCCTAAATGGTACTTGCATCAACTCTGTCAGTACACAATTGCCTGTTCTCTGGCTGTTCTCAGTTGACTGCTTTTTACCTCTCAGTACATTCACCTTTCTGCTCATCATCAATGTCTATCCCTAGATAACTTAAAAATATAGCATTAGATATGAATGACAGCAAGCCTTAGATGATAAGGGGAATATTTAGAAATGTCCAGAATCTTAACTGGTTACAAAGTTCATCATGTAGCCAGATGACTATAAAATGGCAGAATAACCTTCTTAGTCTCCATTAGAGGATGGGGTTTTCATGTGGTCAGGGGGGAAGAAATTGGAATTATAAAGACAGTAATATGGGAGAGGCTCATCTACAACATCTTTATAAAAATTTGCTCTTTGGAATTAGGTTTCAGATGGCTACAACCTGTTCCTCTAGAATCACTGAAAATTAGCAAATTAATGAACTKTTCTAATGTTGCAAAAAACTATGTTTTCTTTATTTTAATCTAAAGTCTCTAAAAAGGGAATGATTCTTGGATAGTTGTGATGGTGGGGGGCAGTACTGAGGATTTAACCCAGGGGTACTTTACCACTAAGCTACATCCCAGACCTTTTTAATTTATTTTTTATTTTTAATTTTGAGACAGGGTGTTTCTAAGTTACTTAGACCTCACTAAATTGCTAAAGCTGGCCTTGAACTTGGGATCCTCCTGCCTTAGCCTCCCAAGTTAATGAGACGATAGATGTGTGCTATCATGCCCAGCTACTTGGTGAGATTTTATAATGTGTATTCTTCTGGCTTGTTTTCTTTTCTAAGAATTGCTTTTTAGAAAAATATTTTGTTTTAGTTGTAGTTGAACACAACACCTTTACTTTATTTTTATGTGGTGCTAAGGATTGAACCCAGCAACCTGCACATGCTAGGCGAGCACTCTACCACCAAGCCACAACCCCAGCCCCARGAATTGCTATTATTACATGCACATATCATTATATTTTTGGATTTTTTTTAAATTAAGAATTAGGTCTTGGGTTGTGGCTCAGTGAAAGAGTGCTTGCCTTGCATATWTGAGGCACTGGGTTCAATCCTCAGAACCACATAAAATAAACAAAATAAAGATATTGTGTCCATGTATAACTAAAAAAATATTTTAAAAAAATTTTTTTAATTAAGAATTAATAAAATTAAACATAGACACTATATTCTGCTAAATTTGTTTCTTACAGTGATGTGAATTACCAATTTTGAAATAACTTTACATGTATAACAAATGAGTAAATATATTATAGATAATGAAAACCAAAAAAAGAATTTACAAATAAGCTGAGGGAGAATAAAAGGATTAACCTTGCAGTGTTGAAGAAAAAGGGACTACTATGAACTCATAGCTAAAATACCTACCTTTCTACCTATATCTATTATTATAGCTATATAGTGAGATATTGTCATACAAAAAAGAATAGATAAGTGTAGGGGCTGGGACTATAGTGCAGTAGTTGAGCACTGGCTTAGCATGTGAAGTACTAGTTTCGCTGTTTGGCACCACRTAAAAATAAATTTAAAACACAAAGATATTATGTCCATCTACAACAAAAAAATATTTTAAAGAATAGATGGTGTACAAACATTAGTATTGTATGCATTTGATTTAATATCTATAYCCATGTATATATCTATAAATACAATCCATAAATATATGTTTGTGGGCACTTGGTCCATGCCTATAATCCCAGTTATTAAGGAGGATAAGGCAGAAGAATTGTAACTTGGAGGTAAGACTGGGCAACGTAGAAAGATCCTGTCTCAAAATAAAAAAAGACAGGCTGGGTGGTACAGACCTGTAATCTCAGCTATTCAGGAGGCAAGAAGATTGTGAGTTTAAGGGCAGCTTGGGCATCTTAATAAAATCCTGTCTCAAAAAAAATAATAATAATAATAAAGGCTTGGGGGCTGAGGTTGCCTGGCAAGTGTGAGGCACTGGGTTCAATTCTTAGCACCACATATATATAAATAAATAATAAGGCCCATCAACAACATCTACACACACACACACACACACAAATAAATAAATAAATAAAGGCTTGGGATATAGCTTAGTGGCTGAGCACTTACCCAGCATTCACAGAGTCCTGGGTTCAATCTCCAATCCAAAAAAAGAATAAAATTTTAAAAAAAATTAAAAAGGGCTGGGAATGTAGCTCAGTGGTATTTACCTTCCTGAGTTTAATCAACAGTATGTATAGACATATGTATATATGTATATTCATATACACATCCTATCTCTGTCTGCCAAAAACTCTAGAAGCAGTGCTATTCCAATAGCAATGAGCATACCTAGTGCCCAGATCTTGGTTACTAAATATCATCCTCCAATACCAGGTATTTGGAGAAGAGAAAATACAAGATAATTTTTTATCATCTTTTATTTTATTTATTTATTTTTGTGTGTAGTGCTAAGGATTGAACCCAGGGCCTCAAATATCTTTTAGTATAAGGAAATAAGAAAGTGATTTTAAAAAAAAAAACAGGATAAAAATATGTCAAAAAACAGAGGAACAAATCTAAGAGAGCCAATGAGGGAAACAATTCTAGTGATAAAATGAATGATAGTAGTAAATGATAAAATAAATACTCATTATCCCATAATGAAATAAATAAGTGACTGAATCAGTACAGAAATGGGAGAGAAGAGATAACACTGCTGTACATAAGAATTCCAATTAACAAATGTATAAGAAAATAAAGAAACAGAGAATCACCATTAGAATAGCAGTTATACTTGCTACGGGCAAGACCGAGTAATGACCACTAAAATTAGTGGGCAAAGTTTAAGGAGAAACAGGATTTATGTGTGGCCTCCAACTATCTCCTGTAGAACAGTGGTATTCATTAATTATGAAGGGAAAAAAAAACTAACTTCATAGTAGACCATGGCAGACATCACCTTAACTAGGTGAGCATGGTCAACATAGCCAGTAATAAGATATGTTGACATCATAGACTCTTCGATATGATACACCGAGATAATATCACATCTATAGCATTCCTCGTGAAATTCAATGACCTTAATCTAATCATGAGGAAGCAGCATGTTTGGGACATTCTATAAAGCACCTGGCAAGTACTCTTCAAAAGTGCCAAGGTTATGAAAGTCATGAAAGACTGAGGAACTATTTGAAACTGAAGGAAACTAAGGAGACATGACAATTAAAATGCAATGTGGGACCCAAGGTTAGGAAAAAAAAGGCACTGGCAGCAAAACTGGTAAACTCCAAATAAAATCAGAAGGTCAGWAACAGTTTTATATCAATATTAGTGCAATAGTTTTGATTATTCAATACAGGTTATAAAAGGGGTTGGGGGCTGGGGATGTGGCTCAAGCGGTAGCGCGCTCGCCTGGCATGTGTGTGGCCCGGGTTCGATCCTCAACACCACATACAAACAAGGATGTTGTGTCCACCAAAAAACTAAAAGAAATATAAATATTAAAWTTTTTTTAATATTTATATTAAAAATAAATATTAAAATATTAAAAAGGGGGGGGTTAGGGGAAGTTGGGAAGCTATCTGTCTAGATGTATATCTTGAAATCATCTGCTTTTCCAGCTATCTGCATAATAGAATAAGCACTGTCTTAGAGTGAAAAAGTCTATGTTCAAATTCCACTTTAAGTCCCCAAAGCCACTTTTTGACTGCTGACCTCAGGTAAAACTACTCAGTGTTTCTGAGCCTTGGCTTCCTTATTTATAATAGTCATAATATCACCTACTAATCCACAGGGGTTGCTGAGAAAAWTAAGTTAAGAGACTGTAGCCCAAAGTGGCTAATACTGTACCTAACACAAAGTAGATGACTAATACATATTCAATAGGCTAATTCCTTAGTTTGACACTCAAGGTTTTCCTAATCTGGCCTAATTCTTCCCTGTCTTCTTCCCAACTAGTCTCCTTGCCTCAGATTTACTTTCTTGAAATTCACCCTTCATGCCGTCATCAATGAGTCCCTAAAACACAAACCAGGCACCATTCTTTTTAGAAACACTATAGTCATTCCCCATACCAAATCAATAAAATTCAAGAGTTTTATAGGAAGAACACCGGATGCCTGTGATCTGGTTTTCACTCTCATGCTTCTGCTGGTCCTGTACTCTCACTTCACATCCCATCAACAAAGAACTTGGGTGGTTCCCCAAACACTCCATGCCTCCTAACCTTTGAACATGCTTTTCCAGGTCCCTAAACACAACACCCAATGTCTACTTGTTCTTCTGACAGTATCTCTCTGACCCCTCATCCTCACCAGCCCTCTGTCTACTCATTACTCTGATATACTTTTATTTCCAATTTGTTTTGTTATATCATGTTTATCTTCCTCACTGATAAGGATGTCAAAGATCACAATTTCTGCCACCTCTTAACTTGGTATATAGTGACAGGTACCTTAATATGTATTTTTAGAACCAGAAAACATACCTTTCTACATCTCTACTCCAACTGACCTGTTGCATTCACTATCTCTACAACACATTCCAACACTCAGAGGATCTACTCTTTTCTATATTAATCCAAACTCTGTCTAGATTTAAACAAGATGGGATGATGCAAGCTTGTAGTTCTGGCTACAAAGGAGGCTGAGGCAGGAGGACACCTTGAGCCCAGTAGTTTGAGGCCAACCTGGGCAACACAGCAAGATCCTGTCTTAAAAAAACAAAATATGCACATTCAAACTCTATCTAGTTTGGAAAGGAAGAAAGAAAAGAAAAAAATTCAATCCAGATTTTAAGACCCTATTGCCTATCAAAATCCTTCCTCCTCCAAGAAGCCTCCCCCAATGACACAGCCCATAATAATATTTCCTCCTACTGGGATCCTCAATTCCTTACTATTTTTATAGTACAACAGAGTGGCCATTAGCACAGATCATGAAGGCAAATTTCCTGCATTCACATCAGAGCCTCATTTCTTAATACCTCTATAATCCTGAGTAAGTCACTTAAACAATTTGAGCCTTGATTTCCTCATTTGTAAAATGAGAATAACAATAACCCTACCTCATGGAGTTKTTGTTAAGATTAAATGAACTAGAACATAGTTAGAACCACACCTGGCACATGATTACTCAATACAAGTTAACCATTAAGATAGTTTTACTCATTTGGCAGTTAATCATGTACTATTCTCTTGACATCTTTAGAACTGCAGTACAACACTATTCTTCATTTTCTAATTATTTAACTTTTCCACTTATTTATATTTAGTTTCCCTCACTAGACTACAAGTTCTAGGAAATTAATGTGAAAAATGTTTTTAAGCAAGTGACACATCCTGTAAAAATATCATAGAGAGATTAAAATGGTAGAACTCAGATGAATTCATTCACAAAGTGAATAAAGTCAGTGCAGAAGAGACACAATTGAATTTAAGCTTTTCTGAGCAAATATTTCTCAAATGATCAGTTGTAGTAAACATCAAATCTTAATTAAATTGGCACCTTAAGCAATGTTATCTTAGTTAATATGAAATAATTTTAATGTTAATCTAAACAAAATACAATTAAATAATATCTTTGGGAAGATTAGATATAAATCTAAATCTGATAATCATAATAAACTTACAGGCAAAGCAATGAATTTTAAAAATATCTGCTATTTTCACCAACCTATGTCATTGATAAATCTATTAGGWTAAAAAAATTGAATTTGTCATTTTTACCAAGTTAGTAAGTAAGTAAAAAAAAATATTTAACTTTCAATTAAGATCAGCAAGTCACAATAAACTCACACTTTTGAACTCCCTTCACTGCAGGCAATGACAACAATTGATAGTAAAGACTCTTACCTTTCCTTCCTCAAGGTGAAGCAGGAGGACTTTATCTCCAGGCTTATAATCTTTGAGCAGCTCTGCTGACTTCCAAACTTCCTCAGGATCAGGTATCCAAACCCTAGCAAACTAGAAGAAAAAAAATGCTTATATTAGCAAGTCAATTACTTTATAATAATATAGAAAGCATAATAATTATTTATAATTAAATAATTTATGAAAAAAGGAATCAAATCCAATATAAATCTTTTTAAATTAGTAAACAAAAAGTATATCAGCCTCAGTAACACCACCAACCCCAAATTATGTAAAAAGTATGTTCTGAAAAAGTAGGTAAAATTAAAGCTTGACTTTGTTTTATCTAGTAAATACTTTCTGAAATGTAATTTTGGGCAAAAAATTATATACAAAACCTCTTTTCAAARCTCTGGTGCCATGGCTCTGCCAGTTTCAGTAGCACAGCCATATTTTTATCAGTGTATATACACTTTGAATCTTTTTTTTAATTTTAATATTTATTGTTTAGTTTTCAGCGGACACAACATCTTTTGTTTTTGTATATGGTGCTGAGGATCGAACCCGGGTGGCACGCATGCCAGGMGAGCACGCTACCGCTTGAGCCACATCCCCAGCCCCTACACTTTGAATTTTGTATTGTGGTTTTCATCCCGTGCTTTGCAAAGCCCTCATGATTGCTCAGAGATCCTTCAGGTGCCATTATGGTAGGGAGAAGGGTGAGATTGTGGCTTGGAGCCACATTATGTTTTATATACTGAGCATCTGCAATTTTCTTTGAAGGAAGAGTTCTGTTGCTAATAAAACCCTTTTGACAAAAAGATGATTGTTTAGAATTTTGCCCTCATTATTTTTTTAAAAAGCTTGTGAAGTGGTAAAAATGTAAGTTTGGCCAGAAATACAATTTGGCTCATGTAGCCTCGATCCCATGAAAAAGGCACACTAATCATCAGGGATTCCTAAGATAGCAAATCTGCAGCCTCAAATAGATACTATCTGGACTTAAGCCAGATGATCACATGATCAATTTTAAGAAAAAGAACAAAATATATTAACGGATATGAATTTTTTCAATCACCATATTGAAGAAGCACTTCATGGTTGCTTAGAATCTCCAGGAATAAATCTCCCTCTAACACATATGTCTATTAAACCCTAATGCTGATTTTCACAAACAGATGGTGTATGAGAGAAGGACACACTGGATTTCATTGGCAAAGGGAAGATGTAATCATGGCTGACACAGGTTAGACTAAAGCTGATCTCTGGCCTATACTATATTCTCATTTCATGTAAGTTCACTTCTAGACTTCATTTTTAATAATGACTAGGATGATAATTTACTTGGAACTTCAAGATTAAGAAACATTTGGATTAAGTATGTTACATATAAGGCTATTTCCTAATGAACTGTAATGTGATGGATAGTCTAAGTACGGAGCCCAAAGAAGTTCTGGAAGCTTATAACAAGACTATTCCTAATTAAAAGAGAAACTTACATATTTAGTGATGAAATTAAAGAGAGGGAAAAGAAAGTGGGTGAACAAAAGTAAAGGAAAATCTGAGAATCCAGAGAATTTAAATTAAATGACCCTGTAAGAAAAACACTTGAACATGCCACCATACAGGATATTACATTAAACTCGATACTGACAAGGATTTTCAAGTCTTCCTACTGGGAAGCTTCTGTGCTATAGTGCAGTAATTTCCAAATTACTATAATCCCATGACTAACAAAAAAATTTTTTTAAAAGATGTTTGAGGACTAGCTGGGTACAGCGACACATTCCTGTAATACCAGCTGTTTGAGAGACTGAGGCAGGAGGATTCCAAGTTTGAGGCCAGACTTGGCAGTTTAGTACAACAGTCTCAAAATAAAATAAAAGGCTGAGGGGTATAGCTGGGAGAGCACTTGCCTAGCATGTATAAGGTCTTGGGTTCAATTCCTAGTATATACACACATACACACACARAGGACTGACATAGGGTTATCAAATTTTATTGTGTCAAGTAAGATTACAAAACCAGTAAGTGTTAATGAAGAGAGGCTGAGGCCCTCACCCTCTCCAGAGGCAAGGTTTTTAAGTAGAAATCTACAATCTAGTATCACCATCATTTTATAAAATAAAGAACATTTTAACATTAAAACAGTAGGAAAAGTAGACATTAGAGTAGCATACAAATTCCATGCCATGTTCTAGATGGGCCATTAAGATCTGTTCTTTCCTTACCTACTTCACCTTTAAGCTGGAGCCACTGGCCCTTATTTTAGTGCTTTAGGAACACAGGTTTATTCATGTTCCCAGAGCCTTTCCCTTTGTCTGCAATGTACTTCTCCTAGATCTTATGCATATCTTGTTATGGTTTGGATATAAGGTGCCCCTCAAAAGACTCCATGTTCCTGCAGGAATAACCTCAAGAGGTAAAATGGATTGGTCATGTGAGTCATAATCTAATAAGTCTATCCTAGTTTGAATGATCTAACTGGATGGTAACTGTTAGTGGGGAGTGACTGGAGGAGGCGTGTCACTGGAGGTGTGCCTTGGAAGGGTTCATCTTCCCTATGACCCCTTCCCTACTTCCCTCTTTCTGCTTCCTGCCACAAGGAACAACAAAGCAACAACAACAAACCAATGTTTCTCTACTACATCCCTTTTGCCATGATGTTTGGCCTCACCTTGGGCCCAGAGGAACACAGGAGTCAGCCCACTGTGGACTATACCTAGGAAACAGAGAGCCAAAATAAACTTTTCTTCCTCTAAGTCGTTCTTCTTCTCCAAGTTGAGATTTTGGTCACAGTGATAAAACCTAACACATGCCTCCTTCTTATTTTTCAGATTTTAGTTCAAATGTAAACCTTGTCAGAGAGGCCTTCCCCAGATCTTTCTAAATTTATCCCAAATACCTCTATCATTTTATATTTTATTTTCTTCAGAGGTCTTAAAACTATCTGAAATTACTTACTGTTATGTTATTGTTTATTTATCTCTCTTTCTTCATTAGAACATAAGCTATGTGTCAATGTTGTTCAATACTACATCCAGTACTTAGAACAGAACTTGAGACACAGCTAGTGCTTAGTATTCGTTGGAAGAAACTAAAAGTAAAAGGCATCTTCTTCACTTTTATGTAAGTAGTATGGTAAAAAACTGACCCAATTGCTTTATTTTTTCTTGTATATTTAAAGAATTATAAAATCTTTTAATTTGAAGTTTACAAAGAAAGAATACTAAAGTAGATAGGTTGTATGTTCTACCATATTGACCTTGGCCTTTATTTCAGGCAACTGTAAAATAAAGATGACAGGGCTGGGGATGTGGCTCAGCGGTAGCGCGCTCGCCTGGCATGCGTGCGGCCCGGGTTCGATCCTCAGCACCACATACAAAGAGATGTTGTGTCCGCCGAGAACTAAAAAAAAAAATATTAAAAAAATTCTCTCTCTCTCTCTCTCTCTCTCTCTCTCTCTCCTCTCACTCTCTCTTAAAAAAAATTTCTCTCTCTCTCTCTTTAAAAAAACAAAACAAATGAAAACATTGTAGGAGATGATGAAATAAGAAAAAAGCTTAAAATAGATACAATTCAAATGTAACAAAATATGAATCACTTGATTAAAATGAAACAACAAATTAACCACTCAGTCAGAAATGGAAGTAAAACAAAATAGAAGGGCTAAATTCTAATAAGTCAAAATTAGAGAAAATAATGCTGGCACAGATTTAAGTTGCATAAGAACTTGCAAGTAAAATAGATGTCATCTATCTTCCCACAATACAATTTAATGAGGCCTACCAATCAGTGGTGAAGCAATTCTGACAAAGCCTGATGGATGAGCACTGGAAAGGCAGGTTCAGGGGGCATAGTTGCCTGGGATGCACCAGAGAGGGCCAGCTTACTCTCAGACCATCTCAGGGGTTATGCCCCTCCCTGCACACTTAAGGAGGCACCAGTCATCTTTCATTTTGTGTCCTTACACAATGACAATACTCAAGAGGTCCTCAATTAATGTAGTTGACTCACTGGAAGTTTTTCTAACTCTCATTTTGTCAGTCAAGAAACCGTGAGGTATACACACCAAAAGCAGTTGTTTCTGATGCCTCAAATACTTTGGGAACAAAACTGACAGTACTAAGAGGGAACTGACCAGCCCTTAAATCACAAAGAATCAGACTCATGTAATTCTATCTTCTCCCCTAAATTCATATATACTTTATTTGCTTTTCATATAAGACGTGTGCGCTTCCATCGGAGCTTCCTTAAATCATGAACTGTTTAGTCGCTCATAATCTGCCCTCATTCACAACCCCATTATGAGTGTTTGCAAAAAATTAATCCTGTATGTGCCAACTTGAACAAGGCTTCTATAAAAACTAAGTGTCCCTCTGGGCTATGAACTAAAGCAAGAGGAAACCTGAATCATCATCAACACCCCTTCCACTGAAATCTGACATTAAAATTGATACTGCATATGATTACTAAGTAATTCATATAATCCTTACAGCATGTTTTGGTTCAGGAACTACCACTCTAAAAACATAATTGGCTTTCCAGAGTAAAGGAAACAAAAATTATTAAAGAAATTAGAAAATCTAAAAAGTTGTCATCCTTAGTTATTGTAAATTTTTAAAATTTATTATGAGATCCCATCCAGATATGAGAACATGAGAGTATGTTTGTGTATAATGAACTTCCCATATGCCCACAAATTAGGTTCAGAAATCAAACACTACTAATAAAACTGAAACCCTTGATAAAATATTCTCTTAACATTTCATCCCCCCTCCCATCATTTTTATTCAATACTAGTATTCTCCAGTCATGTCAAATTTTGGGTGCACCCTGAATAATCAGTGCTGCCTCACACTACTATGCTTTTGCTTTAGTTATTTCCTCCATCTGGAACACTATCCCTTCCCTTTTGAGCAAATAGAATCCTTTTTATCCTGTGTTTAAATGCCACCTTTTCTAAGAAGCCTTTCCTTACTCCCATCACTCGTCACTCCATTCTCAATATCTCTATCACCTCTTACAATCTTCTGCTAGAATCCTTATACCACTATCTGATGGGTGTTTATCACCAGAGACTAAGAGCTACTTAAGAGGAGGGCGATGTCTTT